CACCTGGCAATGCACAGGGGTTACTCCTGACAGTGCTCGGGGGACCATACGGGATGCCAGGAATCGAACTCGGGTTGGCCACATGCAAGGCAAACGCCCTACCCGCTGTACTATCGCTCCAGCCCCCAGTATGAATTTTTATATGTTTATAAAGGCTTGAGTGGAACATGAAGCTCTTCCCATATTCCTTACATGTAAGAGTCCTCTACAGTGTGCATTTTCATATGCCTAGTAAGGGCACAGAGCAGAGTGAAGGCCTTCCCACATTCCAGTGTGAATTCTTCTATGTACTTTACGTCTTGATGATCTAGCAAAGGCCTTCTCACACTCCAGACATAGATAAGGCTTCTCTCCAGTATGAACTCTCATACACCTAGTGAGGGCACAGAGCAGACTGAAATTCCTTCCCATGTCTGACACTGAGGAGGTTTCTCTTCACTATGAAGTTTCCTGTGCTTAGTAAGATTCCAGGACTGAGAGAAAGCCATCCCACATTCTTTACATATATATGGCTTCTCTCCAGTGTGAATTCTTCTATGTACTTTAAGTCTTGAGGATCTAGCAAAGGCCCTTCCACACTCCTGACATATATATGGTTTTTCTCCAGTATGAACTCTCATATGCCTAGTGAGGGAACAGGGCAGACTGAAGGCCTTCCCACATGTCTGACACTGATGAGGTTTCTCCCCGCTGTGAATTTTCCTGTGCTTAGCAAGGTTCCAGGATTGAGAGAAAGCCTTTCCACATTCTTTACATATATATGGTCTCTCTCCAGTGTGAATTCGTCTATGTACAATAAGTCTTGAGGAGTTAGCAAAGGCCTTACCACACTCCTGACATATATAGGGCTTCTCTCCAGTATGAATTTTCATATGTGTAGTAAGGCTTGAGGACAGAGTGAAGGCCTTCCCACATGTCTGACACTGATGAGGTTTCTCTCCACTGTGAATTTTCTTATGTGCAGTAAGGCCTGAGGACAGAGTGAAGGCCTTCCCACATGTTGGACACTGATGAGGTTTCTCTCCACTATGGAAATTCCTGTGCTTAGTAAGGCACCCAGAATCAGAGAAGGCCTTCCCACATTCCTCACAAACGTAAGGTTTCTCTCCAGTGTGGATTCTCCTATGTATAGTAAGTTGTGAGGCTCTAGTAAAGGCCTTCCCACACTCCTGACATATATAGGGCTTCTCTCCAGTGTGAACTCTCCTATGTACCCTAAGTTTTGAGGATGTAGTAAAGACTTTCCCACACTCTGGACATATGTTAGGCAGACATACTCTAGTATGCATGCTTACATGCATGTGAAAGCCTGTTAGCCTAGTGAAGACCTTCCCACATGTCTGACACTGATGAAGTTTCTTTCCACTGTGAATTTTCACATGCCTAGCGAGGCCTGAGGGCAGAATGAAGGCCTTCCCACAGGTCTGACACTTATGAGGTTTCTCTCCAGTATGAATTTTCCTGTGTGTAGTAAGGGATCCAGATTGAGAGAAGGCCTTTCCACATTCCTTACAAACATAAGGTTTCTCTCCAGTATGTATTGTCCTATGTTTAAGAAGGCTTACAGAAAGACCATATGCCTTCCCACATTCCTTACATACAAAAGGTTTCTCTCCAGTATGAAGATTCCTGTGCTCAGAAAGACGTGAGAAGAAAACAAAGGCCTTCCCACATTCCTCACACAGATAAGGCTTCTTACCAGCATGAATTTTCTTGTGATAATTAAGGCTTGAGGATTGAATAAAGGCCTTTCCACATTCTTCACATGCATAAAGTTTCTCTCCTGTATGAATTCTCCTATGTAAAATAAGATATGAGGATCGATCGAAGGCCTTCCCACATTCTTCACAAGCATAAGGTTTCTCTCCTGCAGTTACATTTACATCCATATGGTCACAACGGAATAACCCTTGCCTCAAAGTTTGTCCTCGGTGCTGAATTTTCCGGGGATTCTGTCCACTGTGGGTTTCTAAGGGAACACCACAGTGCTGAGAACACGGGGAGGCTCCCCCACATTCCTTACACCTAGATGGGTTCTGCTCATGGTGACTTTGCTTGCGGGTCCATTGGCGTGAGGGACTCGCTATAAACAGTGCTCCTCTCCCACAGTCCAGGGGCTGCCTCACTGAAGGGGGTTGTGTCCGTGGACTAAGAACAGATTCCAAGGACCTTTTCCCAGGGGAAGGCTTCATCAGAGTGAGGTCACTTTCGCCATTCTGATCACCCTCAAAAGACATCCCGCCTGTCACAGCATCCTCACGGTAATAAGGCCATGATTGCTGACTTGAGACTTTGTCACAGAGCGCAAGATCAGAGACATTCCACTGGGGCTGGCTGCTTCCCTGTAGAAAAGCAGAGAAGGATTGCAATTATTGACGTATTTACTGAGAGTCTTGCTGTCAAAAAAACTGAGCCTTTCAGGTGTGGTTTCTAACATTTGCACCACACAAATGCAACTGCCAACATGTGGACTGTCTTACTGTGGAATAACTGAATGTTACTGTAAGTTGGACACGCAAAATTGATGGATGCAGGGTCATTAAATTCTGTGACATTTTCCCCCCTTTAACTTAATGAAGGTGTACAACTGGAAATAAGTCCCTCTGTAGAAAACTGACGCATCTGTTTCATGAGAAAATAAAATACATCCACATGTGTTTGGTTAAAGCTCAGTGTGGAATCTGTGATACAGGGGTGACACGCTGCTGAGACAGACCATACGACCATTGCAAACATCTCACCATATGTGGATGACTCTCAGGATCAACGACTTTTTTTGGTTCTTTTTGTTTTGTAGTTTCTATTTATTGGGGGCTGGGGGTGGAAAGGGCACACCAAACAGTGCTTTGGGATCACTTTTGGCGGGTCTCTGGTGACCATAAGGAGTGCTGAACATGGACCATTTATCCCTGTGCAAAGCAAGTATCTTTCTTACTGCACTATCTCTAGGGCCCACAAACTAGTTTTTATTTTTAAACAATTACCGATGTCAAGCAAATGAAAAGTCAGTTTTTTATACACGGTTGACTTCAGCACCTGGTGAAGCTAAGCGCTCTCTATTCCAAGCATCAGGCTTAGGAATTCCTCCCTGCCGTGCCCAGCCCTCCACCTTAACAATCACATGCTAGGTCCACTGAGCTACCCCGCTGACATAATATTTATTCCGAATTAGCGAATCTTACCAACTCACTCGTACTTGGTGACCCCCTTCCCAAATCAAAATGTTGTAATGCCAAGTCCCGAAGCCGCGGTTTCAGTTCTGAAACTAAACACAAAATGCAATTTAAGAATGTGTCAAAAGAAACAGAGCAAAATGAGGCAGTGTAGTTAGAGGACATCTCTGTGGTCCTCAAAGTCCAAACAGTCAAGGGAAGATCTGGTTAGAAGATCACTGTGAGGATCTTAGCAATCCTAAACTAGCTTTTGGTTTTGTTTTTTGAGCAGACCCGAAGATGTTCGGAGAACCATATGTGATGCTGGTTACTGAACAAAGTCACCCGCAGGCACTGCAAGGCACTTCCCCCTGTACTAATGCTCAGGCCCAAACTAGCTCTGTTATGGGCTCACCTCTTTAGTATTTAAACAAACAGATAAAAAATATTTTTCAGGTGCAGTGACGACGTGGTTGTGCAGCCAAACTGGTAAGGCACAGACGGGCAGACCAGGAGCTGTGACTCCCATGGACTGACAGATGAGCAAGAATAATGACGAAGCTGAGAAAGCAAAGGTGGGGTCATTCTACGATGCACAGTCCAGGAAGTAACAGGCAGCATGAGCGTGGCACAGACACCTGGATTCAGGAGCCCAGGGCCTCCGGGGTCAGCAGCTTGTTTCAAACACACTCAGGACACCCACACACTGCCCAGGGTCCAAGCCAGGGAAGATGCTCAGACACTCACCTGCACACACGCCTCTCCTCCCTGGCCTCAGGGCTTCTCCTTCCAGCCAGGAAATCACTGCAGGCTTCAACCCAGAATGCCCTGCTCCCAGAGACGGAGGCACAGATTAGTGACAAAAGGTGACAAGTAAACCCTAGTTTCCCTGACATAATTTCAGGGAAATTTCTGAAAAAGCATGAACGGAATTTCAGTTTGCAAAACATCACATATTTGTGGTTTTCGAGAGATAAAACCAAGTTTCAATTTACGAGTGAAATAGGGTGCACTTCCTATTTATATACCTATTAATGTATCTTTATATACCACAAACAGTATAGCCCCGGTCTTGCATATGCTGACAGGGGGTTGATCAGCATAACATGTATTTGTTTTTGTTTACTTTGGGGTCTCACCGGGCTATGCTCAGGGATTATTCCTGACTCTGTATTCAGGAATCACCGCTGGTGGTGCTCAGGGTCCACAAGGGATGCCGGGGATTGAACCCACGTGTGCTGCTTGCAAGACAATCACGTTCCTCGCCGTACTATCTCTCTAGGTCCGGTACCACATGTAGTTTTCTGAGCCCCTCATGAAGTCATCACTGATTTCAGTAAAATCAAGTGCTTAATAAATCATTTTAGAATGGCCAAAGGTGGCAAGAGACCCCAATTTTTTTTTAAGCGGAAAAAAAAAAACCCACACAGCAGATGGGACACTTGAGTTGCTCATGGCCAATGCAGGTTCGATTCCCGACATTCTCTACTGTCCCTCAGACCAGCCAGGAGTGATCCCTGAGTGCAGAGCCAGGAGCAAACCTTGAGTCCTGATGAAGTCTTCCAAGAATAATTAGAAGTGACTCCGAGCACAGAAATACAGCAGCGTCTAATGGGGTGAGTCTCAAGATACCAAAGCCCCTGTGGTGGGAGAGATAGTACAGCACACAGGACACAGTGCTGCACACACATGTGGATTTGATCCCAGGCAGCCTGTTTGGTCCCAGAGCTCGGCCAGGAGTGATTCCTGAATACACAGCCAGGAATAATCCCTAATCCCTGAGAGGAAAAAAAAAAAAAGCTTTGACTTGAGGGCCTGGTGCAAGAGTACTGGGGGTGAGGCACCAACCTTTTAAGCTGCCAAGCGGGTTCAATCCTCGGCACCCCCATGGTCCCTGAGCACTCATAGGAGTCATCCTTTAGCACAGAGCCAGGAGAATTGTGGACTGTGCCCCCAAAACAAAGAAAATAGCATAACCAATTAAACAGACTGAAGTTATGTGTAGTACACAAAGTAAATAAATTTAGCATTGGAAGGGACCTGAGCGATAGCATGGTGCGTAGGGAGCTTCTCATGCACAAACTTGACCCAAGTCAATCCCAATCACCCCACAAGAGTGATTACCGAGGATAGAACTGAGTGGAAGCCCTGAGTATCCTCAGGTGAGCCCTAAAAAGAGAACCAGGGAAGGAACTAGAGGAACAGCTACCACACAGCTGTCCAACATCCCGGCCCAGCACCAGGTAGCCCACGTGGGTCTGTCCAGACAAGGTCGGCCCCACAATGCTCTCACCGACGGCCCGCAGGTGCTGATAGGTCTCCAGCATCACATCCCTGTAGAGCTTCCGCTGGGAAGTGTCCAGGCACCTCCACTCCTCCAGGCTGAAGTTCACAGCCACGTCAGGGAAGGTCACCACATCCTGAGCCGGCACACACAGGGGGTGGGAGTTAGGGCCTATCTCCACCCCATTCCCACTGCTGTGAGGCCAGAACCCCAGGGCCCTAGATATCTCTGGGCCTCTCCCCTCAGGATGAACCAACCTCCATGTGCACTCCCTCCTGAATGACTGACGGGCCCCAGAAATCACACTAAGGCTAAAGTGGGATCTGCTAAAGTTGGAGGACGCTATTCTAGAAGGTTCTTGGAGGTATGTCCCTTTCACAGTGACCCTAAGGCCAATTCTAACACCACTGGTCCAGTGAGCTCTGCAGAGAGGAACACCTGAGCGCAGACCCGGCAGGACCAAAAAGAGGGTCCCTGAGTGCGGGAAAAACCACTGAACACCTGAACACACACCCCTGCAGCCCCACGGTTCATGATCACTAGGGATGAGAACGGGACAGTCCATATTCAAAGAGCGACTCAAAGATGTGTGTGTGACATGTGTGGCTGTAGGGACTCAAGGTTCAGGGATGCCCAAATCCCTCTTAAGGAAGGTAAAAGTTTCTTGACTCCAACTTCTCTACCGGCTTCTGAGATCCTTGGCTCTGTCTCCCTGGGAACTGGTGCATGCCCAGAGCTCCACACACAAAACAGTGTGAACATGAGACTGTGTGACTGAGCAGGAGAAGCTCTCCAGAGTGAGAAGGACAAAATAGGGAAAATGCATGTCCTGGGGCCCAAGTCACTGTAGCTGCCAGGGTGCCATTCTGTCCCTCTCCTCCTGCCAGGGTGCATATGGGGCTAGCACACCCAGGGGGCTCTGAAGCCTGTCAGTTGTGAATCCAGAGCACAGAGCCAAGAGGATGGCTGAGCACTTCCATTTGAGCACAAAAATAAATACAAAAGAATACAACGAAGCAGGATGGAGTACAGGACAGCAGTTCCGGGGAGAGCAGGTAGGACTGGGAATCCCCGCCTTCCCACATGGTCCCACAAGCACTGCCAGTTACAATGCCGGAGTGCAGAGCAAGGAATAATTCTGAGATTCACTTGTTGTGCCCCCCAAATAAAACAGAAAAGCCAAGAGGCCAGCCCTGGACCCCCAGCATCCCATATGGTCACAAAACCTGGCAGGAGTGTTCCTGAATACTGAGCTGTATTCAGTATTCTAGTATTCCTCATACAACAAAACAGACACAAAAGTGAGGTGAAAAAGCAGAGTGGGGCGCTCCGATCTGAAGTCTCATCCCAGGAATCCTTCCTAAAGAAACTTGAGACAGACGGCCCAGGAAGCCCATGCGCTCCTGTCACTGTCTCCTGTCATTCTGTCACTCTCCTCCTACCTGGGGATGGTTTATCAGAAGGCGCGTCACCATCTTCTCCCGCCTCTGTTGTTCTGAGGATCAGCAGGAGGCTCCGTGCAAAGACCTGGAGAAGTCAAAATGGTAAGCACCAGAAAAGAGCACCTTCCTTCACCCCCCAGATTGGACCAGCCACACCTTAGGTACAGGCTCACACTCCTGCCTCAGGGAGACAATGGCAGAAGCTCCTGTCTCCTCTGGGAATGCAAAATGTGTTCGCACCTGTGCTGCCCTTCAGGACAGGAGCTCTGGGCTCAGGCTACAAGGAAGGAAATAGTAGCCCTGCCTGAGCCCCGGATGTCCCCCTGGACCCCACAGGAAAGTCCCTACAGGCCCAGCCAGAGGCTGACTCTGAGCACAGCGGCTCCCGAGTACCAGCATGCCCTGCAGACTGGCAGCAGTGCTGCCCCCTGGGAACTATAGCCTGGACTGTGGCTCTGCCATGGGGAAAGCCACACGGACTTAGAGTGGACAAACCTTCAGCCACTCTCTTGCAGGGTGGAAAACGACATGCGCCCGGGCACTCTGTCCCAGGGACCAAGGTGACTTCTGGGTACAGCTGGGTCAGAGGCACAGCCCTGCTTTGTCCGCTAGACCTGAGCCCATCTGGGTCCTGATTTACTCTAACCCCGAAATGGCACATTTGCACGAACCTCCTCTAGCACTGGCTCCTATTGTGCAGGAATATACTAGAAAACAGCGCAAACAACTGGCTGTATACCAAAATAATCCAAATAACCAAGGAGTCTACTAAGGACCATTATATGAACTGTCAGGAGTAAGACATGAGCACTGTAGATTGTGACCAAAAATACAGCAACAACCAAAAGGCAAAAATGAAGCACAACAAAAAAATAGAATTCATGCACAAAATGAGAGTGAAGAACGTTTAAATAGTCAAAGAGCAGATCCTTAAAACTTTGTTTTTCTGGCATTTCCACAGTTTTCCATGAACCCTTATTATTCTCTTTTTCTGAGATCACACATTTTCTGTGTGCGTGTGTGTGTGTGTGTGCGCGCGTTTTTCTTCTCTGAGTCAGAATCAGGAGTGTTCAGGGGGTATTCCTAGCTCTGCACTCAGGTTTCAATACTGGAAGATTTGGGGACCACTGAGATGCAAGACAGAGAACTTGGGTTGGCTGTATGCAAGGCAAGTGCCCTACTCCCAGAACTTTTGCTCTGCCCCTTCCTCGGTAAATTTCTTCCAAAAATACCAGGAGTGAGTCCTGAACACAGCTCTCCCTCCTCACAAAATAAATAAATAAATCTTTCTTCAAAATAAACAAACATTAAAAACCCCTTTACCCTCAGTATTTACCCCAATGCCAGGGGTTGTCTGCGCAGAGAGAGATGAAGAGTCAGGGGTACTTTGCAACTTGACGTGAGGGAGTTGAAATTTCTGATTTGAAAAAAAAAAAAACACCAGTATTATGGCTGGACAGGCAGTAATGTGAGTTGGGCACTTAACTAGATGACCTGATCAATCCTCTGCATCCCATATGGCCCCCAAGAGCGCCAGGGATAATACCTGAGCTTAGAGGCAGGAGTAAGCCCTGAGAATGTCCGGGTATGTGCCCTCCCCCCCAAAAAACAAAGAACCAAAAATAAGCCCCAAAATAAATTTTCATTGGCAAACCCCTACCACCTGCAGGTTCCCTTCCCCACACACGACTCTGGCTATCACGTCAGGCAATGAAGATGACCAGCAACAGGTCTCTTTCCTTTAGGTGGAGGAGATTCTACAGAAGTCATTGGTCAGGGCCAATGGTTCAAACATGAGACTGCTGGGAAAGTCGGGATGGCCAAGCCCTCCACTCAGCCCCATGTCCACCTGCTGTTGCCCCATCGCAGAGCTAGAGGCGATCGTGGCTGAAGAGGCCCCCCAGAATCATGCACTCACATCCACGACCCTTGCACACCGGTAAAGCCCCCACTGTACCCCCCAAAGCTCCACGTCCCCCTAAAGCCTCCACCGCACCTCAGAAACCACCTGGATATCGGGGAGCAAGTGAAAAACAATAACAAAAGTGCCCCCCGCAAGCTGGCCCGGCCCCTCTGCATACCGTGTGGAGATGGGGAGGCTGCTCGTGTCCTGCCACAAAATCCACCTTCAGAGTCCCCCTTCCACGAAGCGGCGTAAATTTACTTATCCTTTGCCAAGGAAGGAATAGCGTCCTGATCCCACCCAGTGTCTGTGTCAGAGATGGAAAATGAATCAGGAATACCAGTTTTATGACATCACTTCTGTTTCCATAAGGTGCCCAAAAAGGCACTGAGAACCTTTGTGCCACCCAGCTGAGTCTGTGCTGCGAGGGGGATGGACTAGGATAAAGGAGTGGAGAGGGAGCTTCTCAAGTGGACGGTCACACAGTGGGGGCCTGGGGGTAAGGAGAAGCCCCCTGATCCTGTAGTCGTCACCAAACATTGAACCAACGATATCTAGACACCCAATGTGACCCTGACTCTTGTCAAGTGATCCCTAACCTCAGAGCCAAGAGTAAACCCTGAGTACTGCCAGCTGTGGTGAAAAATATAACAAAAAAAGCAAATTCTACCAAAGGGGGAAAAAAATGATATGCAAAGACAAATTCTAGAGTGAAACATTCAAAGTGTCAACTAGCTGGTCCTTAAAATCCCTCATTCTTGATCTTTCCCTGCTACAGAAACTCAGTTTCTCCTGAATCCCTATTGTTCTTTCTCTGCCTTTGCATCTTTCTTGTGTGTGCGTATGTGTGTGTGTCTGTGTGTATACGTGTGTCCTTGTGTGATTTTTATTTTGGGGTCACAACCGGCAGATTCAGGGCTTACTCCTAGCTTGGCACTCAGGGATCACTCTGGTAGGGACCATATGGGATGCAGGGGATGGAACCTGGGTTGATCGCATGAATGCTTAAAAGTGCTTACTCGCTGTACTATGGCTCTGGCCCTAAGAAAATGTGCTCCTAGCACACCCAGGGTGATCCCTGAGCAAATGCCCTTACTCCTGAAAAACCAAAACTTTCTTGCTTAAAAAAACACAACCCTTTACTCTTGTTGGATTAGAGTTCTAAACAATTTAGGTTTAACATTGGTCCATCATTTCTCCTCTGCTACAAGGAGCTTAGGCTTACTGAGTAACACCCATCCCAATGCTCCTGAATCACTCCCATTTCCTTAGTACTCATCTTTAACTTCCAGGTGCTCTGCTTCCCCTATGCACTAATCATCCATTTCCCCTAACCAGAACCTGTTAATCGTAAAGTCAGATTCTTCAGAGATCTCTGGATTTTGTATTTGTAAGTGAAATTTTGACTTTTTCTTTTCTTTATGTCCTCTGCAGTTTACTTTAGACAAATATCCATTTAGCTCCTGGACAAGGACCAGTGAAGTCTCATGTTGGGAAGATCGGGATGGCCATGCCCCAAGCGCTCAGCTTTCTATAGCAAAGGAAGACAATGTTACGCTTTTGTAACTCAGAGTTAATTGACTCCAGATACTATTTACTCCTGGGCATTGTCATATTTATGAGACTTAAGCCTCAGCTGCCCATTGTTCCTAGCACCCCAAAAGCAAGAGACTGGATGAACCCAGGAGAGCTGTGAGCTACCCTGGCATTGAAAACGGACAGGTAAGCACCAAAACAAATTTCGTCATGACCCAAACATAAGCAACTGGATAAGGATCCTGCTGGGATTAGGAAGGACTAACCTGTCCTGAGGAGTGTAGTCTGGGATCTATAGGAAATATCCCCAATAGAGCCACCCTGTAAGCTTAATAGATCTCCTACAGTGACCCTTCAAAATGAACAGAAAGATTAAGTAGTCAAGATTGTTTAAATGAATATGGACTAAGAAAAGGAAAACACGTCCTTAGATGAAATTCTACCCTTGAGCTGATCTCCTTGCAGGGAGAGATTTTTGTCCAAAGAGAAGTTTCCACTGAGGGAAGGGCTTTACATCCATTGATTGTACAACCACACCTCTATGTATTTGCTACCCCTACTCCTGGGGAATGGGCTGGAGAAATAAAGGCTGTGGGAGAAGGGTGAAGAGAGGGAGTGAGGGGCAGTGGGAGACTGGTATAGATAGGCAGAAGAATGGGAATGAAGAGCAACTGATCACTGTGAGTTCACGAAGTAAAATGCGGGGGTGCTGTGAAGCGTTGGTGGTCCAGAGCCGCCTCCTCACTTCCCCAGGCTTTCCCAACAGAGAGAAAGACAGAGAGACGGGGAACCACAGACTGATGGTGAAAACGGCCCATTTAATGCGGAGCACCTACCATACTTATAGAACATCTGAAGGGGGGGGGGGGGGTTGAGGTAAGGACATAGGTGTGATTGATCATTTACATAGATAAACATTTCACTGTCACTGTCACTGTCCTCCCATTGTTCATCAATTTGCTCGAGCGGGCCCAGTAACGTCTCCATTGGAGACTTTGTTGTTACTGTGTTTGGCATATCAAATACATCATGGGTAGCTTGCCAGGCTCTGCTCGGTAGCTTGCTGGGCTCTCGAGAGGGGCGGAGGAATCAAACTCGGGTCGTCCATGTTGGCTGCGTGCAAGGCAAACGCCCTAGATAAACATTTGGCAGAGGAAATTCTCTTGGGGAGATTCACCCAAGGAGACACTCTGTCTCCCAGGGACATCTACATTGCTTTTACCTTTCCCTCTAGTTGTATACATTATCAACACTTGCAGTTGTTTGGATAAACACATTAAGAGACAAAGATCCCAACACTTAATTCTCTGGGCTCTGAGAGCAAGTAAGGCTCTTACCTTAAATGCCAGACTAAGTCCTCAGGCCAGTTCAGCTTGTCCTTCCCTATGGGGGTCCTGTCTCTTAAGCTGTAACAGTTTGCATCAAGATCATGCATTTCTGCTTTCTACAATGTCCCATTTGGATGCCAGGGTAGTTTCCCACTTGTTCCAGGTCCATCCAAGTCCCACGGCAGAACCTCCCTTTTGGGGAGTTAGGAACTACAGCAACTGAAGCATGAGTCAAGTAATTACGACCAAGCAATTATGCCCAGGAGTAGATATATTTCAGAGTCAATCAACTCCCAAATCCTTGGATTGATGGTCTTTTTGTGTTTTTAACCGAAGAACACTGATCTAAAGTAAAATATAAAAAGGCTACAGGGGAAACAGGAAAGCAGGTACAAATACACAGCACTTCAACTACTAAGCAGTACAAATACAAAGTTGAGAATTACCAGAAAGTTATGGCTTATAAGTAATCAAGACTGACTTGGGGAACTGAGACAACCAGAGGTAAAATACAAAGAAAAGGTTAAAGATAAACTTTTAACTAAATTAGGGATGTTAGCAAGGACATGATAAGCTTCTCTGAGAGGAGGAAAATGGGCAATTCACAGATGAAGCCTAAAACACTTTGGGTTAAAATCCAACAGATCACAACAGCCTGAACCCTGTTTCCTTCTTCGATCCTCTGTCACCCTTCATCGGCCAGGGTGGGGAGATGAATCATGGCCATCAAATGCACTCCACGCATGCTACATTACTTGAACACAACTCTCAGTACTCAGTGTAACAGTCGGGGGTAGCCTGATCAGGGAGAGATGAAGAGTCAGGGTGCAACTCAACTTGATCTTAAGGTACAGAAATTCTACATGTTAGGAAAAACAATGAGCCAGAGAGACAGTAACCTGGGAGAGGCACTTCCCTTGCTGACCCAAATCAATCCTTGACATTTCATATGACCCCTAAAGCACCATATCTCTGTAGCACTGTCATCCCGTTGTTCATCTATTTGCTCTAGCAGGAGCCAATAACATCTCCATTCATCCCAGCCTTGCGATTTTAGCAGCCTCTCCTTACTCATCCTTCCCAATGGTGCCATATTGGAGGCTCTTTTCAGGGACAGGGGAATGAGACCCATTGTTACTGTTTTTGGCATATCGAATATGCCATGGGGAGCTTGCCAGGCTCTGTCGTGCAAGTGGGATACTCTCGGTAGCTTGCCAGGCTCTCCGAGAGGGAGGGAGAATGTACATTTTACATATATTAAACATTTTAAATATATCATTTTATTTATATTAAATATATAAAATGTATTAAATAAACATATGAAATATATTAACCCTAAAGCACCGACGGAAATAATTCCACAGTGCTGTCCCTGGAGTAAGCCTCGATCTTCCACAGATTTGCCCAAAATACAACCAAAAATAGCACAAAAGCAAATTTTCATTTGCAAGCCACAACCATCCCTAGGACTGCGTCCCCAGGATGGCCCTGGACATCAAGGCTACTACTGAACAGTGACCCAGGGATACAGGGTCATTTGCCTTTGGGGAGCTGCCACCCTGTCCCTCAAAAATGAACAGGTCTTTTATTTTTTTGGAGCCTCCACCGGGGATACGAAGGAGAAACTTCTGGCTCTGCACTCAGGAATCCATCCTGGTGG